TTTCTTAGTTTTGATTCATGTACCATGATTATGCAAGATGTTAAAGAAAGCTGACTGAAGGCTATGCAGTAACTCTCTGTACTATCTTCGTAACCCTCTTTTAAATATAAAATTATTTCAAAAAAAGTTTTAAAAATAGGCAAGTCTGGGTTGATAGTCCATCTTTCCACTGCTGTGTTGTATGACCCTGGGCCAGTCATTACACCTCTTTTGTTTCCATTTCCCCACCTGTAAAATGAATTTATGGTGATAGTACTTGCTGAATAGGGTTTCTTTATTATAGGTCAAAATCCTATAATAATGTAATGATTACAAAACATAAAGCACTGAGAATAGTTCTTGAAGACAGTAAGTGCTCAATAAATAAATTGGCATGGATATCTATGAGGTTCTAATCTGGGGTTGGGGCATGTAAGAAGGCATCAACAGGGAGCAGTAATACTTTTTGTCAGATAGGTGGCAGAGGAAAACTGGAGAAAGGGAGACAGTACTCAGTCCATGATCACAGGGCCATGCAGAGGGCTAGCCAGTTAAATTTGGTTCCTAGTCTCAGTAGAGGATGCAACATGCTGACCAGAAACTGGCTGGGGATCTATCCTAAAAAGTAGGACACCAGTCTGATGATAGAAGAGTGATGGGGAGTGTGGAGTGTGATAGCAAAAACACCCTCACCATTGCATTTCCAGGCTCAGAAAAATATCTGATGCATGGTATTTCTGGATGGGAGTGCCTGGGTCCCTGGATGATTTCAAGGAGCACAAGCACTACACTCCCTGAACCAGCTATGAGCCCAGGCTTTCTAGTGAAAGAGAAATAAACCTGTCTTGTCTATGTCACTGTTATTTGGTCTCTGTTAAAACAGCTGAAATAAATTCCTAACTAACACTGACAGTACTCTGATTAGTTTTCGGTTTAAGGTACACAAGGAATTATGTACTTGATTTTGTGGTCAATTTAATGTTAAAATAATATATAAACATAGATTAATATATAAACATAGATTAATGAAATAATGCTATAAGAACTTCACTTTTGATGTGAACTAGGAGCGTTCTACTTTAGTTGATCTGGAAGGCAGTTGATTTGCCTAATCATCATGTTAACTTTGTGAGAAATCTTGTTTAAGAATTCAAATGTCGGAAATATTATGAGGCCCAAGTTCACTGTCTGAAATTCAAATCAAGACAGTTTTGTCCCTCTGTACTTATGGGAGGTTTCAGGGAAAGTTCGCTTTAGGGCAAGTTTGACCACAATTTTTGAATTCTAAACCTGAAGCTATTTAAATCATATCTTCTTCAGATTACTGTTGGCATCTATACATAGGAAAAAAAAAGGAAGAAAGGAAAGAAGAAAAAGAAAGAAAGGAAATACTGCTTGCTGAGATTATACACATCTTAGAAGAGACATCATCTTAGATAAAATAGAACTAGAGGCTAGAGTTCCTGAGTGGTACAGATGGTTCAGTGCTGGGCTACTGTCTTAGTCATCTAGTGCTGCTGTAACAGAAATACCACAAGTGGATGGCTTTAACAAACAGAAGTTTATTCTCTCACAGTCTAGCAGGCTAGAAGTCCAAATTTAGGGCATCAGCTCCAGGGGTAGGCTTTCTCTCTCTCTGTCAGCTCTGGAGGAAGGTGCTTGTCATCAGTCATCCCCTAGCTGAGGAGCTTCTCAGTGCAGGAACCTTGGGTACAAAGGGCACGCTATTCTCCTGGCTCTTGTTTCTTGGTGGTATGAGGTCCCCATGTCTCTCTGTACGTTTCTCTCTTTTATATCTCAAAAGAGATTGGCCTAACATACAATTTAATCTTGTAGATCTCATCAACATAACTGCTGCTAATCCATCTCATTAACATCATAGTGATAGGATTTAAAACATAAGAAAATCACATCAGATGACAAAATGGTGGACAATCACACAATACTGGGAATCATGGCTTAGCTAAACTGATACATGTATTTTTGAGGGACACAACTCAATCCATGACATTCCACCCTTTGCCCCCCCAAAATGCTCGTCCTTGTCACATGTAAAACACATTCACCTCATAATATCACAGCAAATGTCTTAAATCGACTCCAAGTCCAAAATCCAAAAACTCTTCATCTGCGAAATCTGGAATACATGTTATCTGCTCCCAAAGTACAATGGTGGAACAGGCATAAGCTAGACATTTCCATTACAAACAGGAGAAACTGGAGGGCAAGAAGGCATAACAGGCACCAAGCAAATCAGCAGAATACATTACATTAGCCCTTAAGGCTTTGAAAAGAATCCTCTGTTCTCTGAAACAATTCACACAATGGCCCTGCCCTCCACAATCTAGGTGTTGGCCACACTCTCCAGATTCTGAGTGTAGGCCCCTCGGCCCTGGGCTTCAGCTCCACCTTCCAGGCCCACTGGAACAGCAACTCTGCTCCCTCAGCTTCAGGTGCACCATTCCCCTAGTCCATCTGAGTGGCAACTCCACCCTTAGAAACACCAGAGGCCTTGGCTCCACCCTTGGAAACCTCAGAGGTCATGGCCATACCCTTTGAGACTGAGGCAGCTTGGCTTCCTGTGTTCCTTGTCTCTTCAGCTTCTGCTTCCTAGTTCCTTGGCCTCTCAGCCCTTCAGGCCTCTCAGCCCGTGTCTGCCCTGCTGGGGCAAGTGTTCCAAAGCTCTGTAGCTCCACTGATGAGTGCCTAGAGGCACCCCACTCCACCAGTAAACTTTGGCCAGAAGGCACTCAGTTCTCTCACTCTGCGGGTTGGCTCCAGTGCTGTCTTGAGCTGGTCTCCTGGTTCTGTCGCTGCCAGTTCTCTGTTGCTGCCTCTTGCCATCTGTACCGTCTCCAGTGTAAAAGCTCTCCTTATTTCCTTCTGAGTCTTCTATCCATTCACAGTTTCAAAACC